CACATACAATTAGTATCACCTCTAATTTCTAACAATATAGGTTTGCATTTCAAAATTCTAGCCTGTCTACCATGGAACGGCCCTAATTACCATTCGCATACTCTTCTAACGTGACATTAAAGGTTGACTTTGGGTTATTGAGCCTGCAAGCTGCTTAACCCTTTCTGGCCATGTGTCACACTTTGTATAAGATTCGCTGCCGTTATATAACAATGGTAGCAACAATGGTTTGCATGGTCATACTTTAATCAGATAACCTCACAACTGGTTTGTGCAAACATCTCCAGCAGGGAAGGGGAGTGCTTCTCTGGAGATGTTACAACTTGAGTGACATTGACTAATCACTCCCCACTGTTCTCAGTTCCTAGAGGAGCTAGATTCACCCTTCCCATGGATATATGTACTATACCTGGCTCACAATAACACACAAACAGTTGCATTTTAATACAATAGACCACAAAGGTATTAAACTTCACTCCCAGTGCTCTAGAGGGGGGGCTCCGGGAATGCCACAGGTGCCCTGGTATGGGGGGGCAGCCCGGGTGTGCCACCGGTGCTCAGGTGGGGGGGTGGTGTGTGGCCTTCTACCCCTGCCTGCCTTCTGGAAACTGACTCTTCCACTCTTTTAACTACTAGGAAACCATCACTAAGGACAAGTGGATCCTAGAAATAGTGTAAGAGGATTACGCAATATGTTTTGGTTCCATCCCTCCACCCAACCCTCCTCGTCTCTCTCAATTCAAGGACCCCCCTTATGAGAGCCTACTAAAATCAGAGGTTCACAGGCCACTGAGGAGCTACCAAAGGAAGTCAGAGGCAAGGGATTTTACTCCAGCTACTTTCTGATCCTGAAGAGAGATGGGGGACTTGCAGCCCATCCTGGATTTGAGACAACTCAACTCGTTCATCAGGAAGTTCAGGTTCCACATGGTGATGCTTGTACCCATGTCTCCTTTCCTTTCCACCTAAGATTAATTTGGAGCGCTCAGTTGGAAAGATGCATACTTCCATATATTGATCAGACCTTCATATTAATAATATATTCATTTCTTGGGCAGGGAAGATTGTTACCAGTGCAAGGTCCTCCCATTCGCCCCTTCTGCTGCCCTCCGGGTATTTACAAAATGCCTTTCTTTCATGGCAGTGCTTTTGAGATGACTGGCTCATAAAGGCTTCATTGTAGGAATCCCTGCATGGACTGTACATATGTACTTTTTGAGAATCTATGACTGGGAATAACTTGGAAGAAATCACACCTTCCTACTCAGAAAATCCCCTAAGTTGGGATGATTTTGGATGGCCAGTCAGGAAGAGCCCTTTCCTAGAAGAAGGACTCCTGAACATTCAGTTTGCTATTATGAAACTGTGAAAGAATCCCAAACAAACAATAATATTGTTTCTTATAGCCTCAGACATACATGACTCTTTATGCTCATTTCAGAATGAAACCTCTTTAGCATTGGCTGGCAAAAATTACCTGCCAAATTCAAAGAACATTTATATAAAGCTAATTGTCCCAAAAGAGGTGTTCCCATCTCTTACCTGGTAGTCACAGTGTGCTAAATAGCTGTGGCATTTGTTCCTCCATCCTCATCAATAACTGTTACGTCAAGTGTGTCCAACCTGGGATGGGGAGTGCACTTCAGTGGCCTAACAACTCATTGTTGTTGGAACCACTTTGAATAATGACTCCATATCTATGTATTGGAGATGAGGGCAATCCATCTAGGTCTCAAATTCTTTCTGCTTCACTTAAAGCAAAGTAGTCAAGTAGTCACTGACAAAATGATGGCTGTGTTTTATATGAACAAACAAGGAGGAACTCATTCCACACAGTAGTGCAAGGAAGTTAAAGTACTCTAGGACTGATGCATCCATGACAGCATTTACCCGATAGTACTTCACCTAGTGGAAAAGGACATTAGCTTGGTCAGTCAGCTGACAGAGAGGGGGAAAGCTACAGGAATGGTCTCTAAACCCATCAGTGGCAGAAACAGATGTTGGCAATGAGACACACAATACCAAATACCTGAGGTTCTGCTCGAGAGCAGGAGTAGGCAGCCTGTCCATTTCAAATACATTCCTATCCGGCTGGGGAATGGGCCTCCTCTACACTTTGTCCCTATTTCCCATTTTCTCTAATCCAAAGAGAAGTACAAAAGATAAATACTACAGTTTCATGGTAATTCTTATTGCTCCAACATGGGCCAGGCAGCAGTGGCTTCCAGACCCTTACATCTCCAGGTGAGGATATGGTTCTCTCCCTGTGACTTTACCACAGGTCTATTCTCAGGAGGTGAGCCAGAGCTTGCACTCAGACCCACAGTCTCTATTCTTTAACAGCATGGTCGAGAAATGCTTGTTCATCAGGCATGCAACGCATGCTACTAAACTCCAGAAAGCAATCTATTCATAAGTGCTATGACCTCCAGTGGATAAGAATTGTCTTTTGGGCATCAGATAAAAACATATCTTCATCATCAGCATTAATTCAGTCCATACTTGAATACTTGCTACACCAGAAGCTGTTCAATCTATCGGTATCCTTGCTGAAAGTCACTTAGTTGCCATTTCAGCCTTCCAGTGAACAGCAGACCGAATTTATCCATGACTCAGTTAAGAGATTTATGAAGGGTACAGTGAACATCTATCCACCAGACAAGAAACTCCCCCACCATCATGGGATTTTAATCTAGTCCTTACTCAACTTTATGAGACCATCCTTTGAACCAATGAATGAGTGTTCACTGTTTCACCTGTCAGTCAAGACAGTATTTGTTATAGCGACAATAGCTACCAGAAGTATAAGCAAACTGCAAACCTCAATGGTGTCTCCACCATTCACAGTGTTCCACAAGGACAAAGTGATCCTCCACACACATCCTAAATTTCTTCCCAGCGTAATAACTGATTTAAATCTTAAGTGAATAATTATAGATTCATAGACTCTAGGACTGGAAGGGACCTCGAGAGGTCATCGAGTCCAGTCCCCTGCCCTCATGGCAGGACCAAATACTGTCTAGACCATCCCTGATAGACATTTATCTAACCTACTCTTAAATATCTCCAGAGATGGAGATTCCACAACCTCCCTAGGCAGTTTATTCCAATGTTTAACCACCCTGACAGTTAGGAACTTTTTCCTAATGTCCAATCTAAACCTCCCTTGCTGCAGTTTAAGCCCATTGCTTCTTGTTCTATCCTTAGAGGCTAAGATGAACAAGTTTTCTCTCACCTCCTTATGACACCCTTTTAGATACCTGAAAACTGCTATCATGTCCCCTCTCAGTCTTCTCTTTTCCAAACTAAACAAACCCAATTCTTTCAGCCTTCCTTCATAGTATTCACTTCCTTCATTAGTCTATCAGTATCCTTTCCAGACCTTGTGCATTTAAGTGAGTCAGAACTCTATATCCTAGATGCTAAAAGGTCAGAGGCATTCTCTTTAGGTAGTCCCTAGATCTCTTTATATTTTACAGAGAGAATAGTAAGGGCTAGCCTATTTCATCTCAATGCTTCCCTAATGGGTTAGACTGTGTATTAAGGAGAGCCACAAAGCCTCTGTCCCTCTTCCTGTAAAGTTTAGTACACATTCCACTAGGGCTAAGGCAGGTTCTTTAGCATGACTTAGACATATTTCTATTATTGAAATCTGCAGAGCTGAAACAGGGAGTTCTATACACACATTTACTAAACATTGCTTTCTCTTGATTTAGCATCCAGATCTGATGCACAGATTGTTAGGGCAGTACTCAAGACACTGTTTAATTAGGACTATGTGTCCCAGCTATGTCCTCAGTAGATGGTATTGCTTATCAAACTATCCCAAGAGTCGGAAGGTGTACAGATTACTTGAAGAAGAAATGAAGGCTGCTCATCTGTGAGTGGAGTTCTTTGAGAATTGTACAGTGCATAGAACTGGACTTTACACATTCCCGCTCCATGCTCACCTTTGCGTCTTCCTCGAAGTCCTAATTATATTCTTGAATCTGAGGAGGCAGTGCAGGAACTGAGCTGTCTGGAAAACCGCACCCTCTTGTCCTCAGAAAGTTCAGGAACAAAAATGAGAGGAGGGGAAGGAGGGGGTGCAAGAGTAGTGCAACAGGCACTGCTATGAAGCATTCTACCCATGATCGTGAATGCGTAGAGTCCATCTTTGAGAACTCTAGTTAAAGGTGAGCAACTGTCATTTTCCCCTATGAAGTTTTTGTTTAGATCTCAGTAAAAAAAACTGAAAAAATCTTATACATTCATTTATGCAGGATTTACTCTTATTTGTAATTCACATGTTTGGTCTTTTCCAGTTTGCCTGAAAATATCTAAAATGCTTTTTTCTTTGTCCATAATTCTTGTCATTGAAAATAAGTTATGTTTATTAATGTGCTAAAACTCGTCAAACCTGCAGTTCGCTGTATAAAACATGAATGGAACACTTTTCACTAAAGAGGTAGCAGAGTAGGGAAATATGGTTCCCCAAATGCTTTTTTGAGGTATTCAAAATAATATCCTTAATAGTTTACTCAAACTATATCACGTGTGTTTAAGACCTGCTTCTTCCAGTTCAAGATATTTTTGTTTGTTTTCCTTTGGGATCAATTTTTAATCGAGAGATGAGCTCTGTGACAAAGGAAGCTAGAAGCAGAGCTTGCTTTGCATACCAGGGAACAGAACAGTTATTGGTAGTCCAATTCTATGTAATAAAAATTCTAAGTATTGGATGATATATTCCTTGAAGACTTGCACTGGGCAAACAGAATACATAGGGGTAGAATTTTAGTGCACTTTATAGTTGATATTGTCAACAGGAGCTGTGGGTGCGACCTGCCATATAATGTGCAAAAATATTAAAATTAAAAATAAGAAGAAGAGAGTTTCTTTGGAGGTGTCATTGCAGAGAATTGCACATTACAACACTATAAAATAGATTTCTTTTTTCAAGAGAAGTGTATTTCAAGAAAATACATAGCAAACTAATTAAAATCTCAATCTTCCTTTTTTAGGTCTATGTCTGGGGTTACAATGGTAATGGCCAGCTTGGATTGGGCAGCAGTGGTAATCAGCCAACACCCTGTAGAATAGCTGCTTTGCAAGGCATTCGTGTGCAGCGGGTATGTTTATTATGTCACGTCAAGCCTTTTATGAACAGAAGAAATAGCATGTGGCAAATGCAGATTCTAAAGGGAATATTCTGCACTCAATGAAGGCAAGGCGTTAGTGGTTTGGTTAAAGACCTAAACATAATAATGAAAATATACATCTGAAAAATGAACTTTCCCCTCCACTAGACAGAAGGGTGAAAATGTAGCCCAATTGGAGTTTTGCTTTTGACTTCAGTGGAGCCAGGATTTCATCTGAGGAATTTTAGGGATCTTTATAATATATATTTAGTTCCTCTTGAAAGGTAATTGGCACTCTCATCTTTCATTGACATCTACTTCTGTTTGTCAAAGCCAAAGTTTGTTGACCACCAGGCCACACTCCAAGGCTCCCTTGTTCTCCTTGGCTGTTCCTAGGAAGAATAAAATGAATTTACAAGAGATGGTGCTGGAGAAATCTGTCAGTGGAGGGTTATGGGGGATTTAGGAAAGCAGTCTTTTGAAGATTGGTTCCTAATTGTAACATTGGATGGATGTTTTTTAGCAATTGAAATAAATAAATAAAAATACATAGCTTTCTATCCAATTCCCATTCACAGGTAAGGTCCCTCACAAGAGATAGCTTAGCTGGGAGGGGATGCTAATGGAGAAAGAGGTCCCTAGCATAATTAAGAAAAATATTATTTCCTACTTTCCATTATCTTTTTCTCCTTTTAAGAAAGTGTTGCTGTAATAACAAGTACTGATTTAGGTCCCAAGTATTTACAGTTAGATATAGGCCTTGATTCAACAAAGGACTTAAGCATACTTAAGTATATGTTTAACTGTAAGCACATAACTAGTCCCATAGAAGTCAGTGGGACTACTCACATGCTTAAACACTTAAGTCTTAAGCTCTTAGCTGGATAGAAGCCGTAGCATTTAATACTATAGTTAAATGGGACTATTTACAGTAGTTAGCACTACGCTTGGTAGCAAGCGCTTACAGCATCAAGCCCATAGTTTCAAACTTTAATTTATGCCATGATACGAGTTTTACTGCAAAATTTGTAAAGTTCTCCTAGTTCTCTCTCACGTCACCTGCTTCTGAGGTCCCCTTGTTATGTTTCAATGTGCCTCTGTTATTTCTTCTTTTGTACATTTTTCATTAACTCTTACTGTGCTCTTAAAAGGTTATTGGCTTGTGAATTTTTTAAAAATATAAGCAGGTTTTCTCACATGCATTTCTTTGCTCAAAATCTCTCACCCTCTTTCTGTTCCCGATTATAGTGTGATCTGTGTTTATTATTTTTGTAAGTTGTATTACCTGTGTGTAGAGCCCTACCAAATTCACGGCCATGAAAAACGCGTCACAGACTGTAAAATCTGGTCTTTTTTGTGCTTTTACACTATACTATACAGATTTCACAGGGAGACCAGCGTTTCTCAGATTGGGGGTCCTGACCCAAAAGAGAGTGGCAGGGGGGTTGCAAAGTAATTTTCGGGAGGTTTCAGTATTGCCACCCTTACTTCTGTGCTGCCTTCAGAGCTGGGCAGCCGGAGAGTGGCAGCTGCTGATTGAGGAACCAGCTCTGCAGGCAGCAGTGCAGAAGTAGGGGTGACAATGCCATACCATGCCATCCTTACTTCTGTGCTGCTGCTGGTGGTGGCTCTGCCTTCAGAGCTGGGCTTCCAGCCAGCAGCTGCCGCTCTCCAGCTGCCCAGCTCTGAAGGCAACGCCACCGCCAGCAGCAGTGCACGAGTAGCAGTACCGCAACCTCCCCTACAATAACCTTGTGACACCCCACCACACACACACACACACACACACACACATACAACACTCCTTTTTGGGTCAGGACCCCTACAATTACAACACTTGTGAAATTTCAACTTTAAATAGCTGAAATCTTGAAATTTACAATTTTTAAAATCCTATGACCGTGAAATTGACCAAAATGGACCGTGAATTTGGTAGGGCCGTACCTATGTGTTTATCCTCTTGGATATAGAATCAACAATATGAAAATATATTTATTTGTCTGAATTAATTTGCTGGTAAGTAAGATGAGATTTTTTTTGTTATTCATTGTAGGTTGCCTGTGGCTATGCACATACATTAGTGCTAACAGATGAAGGTCAGCTGTATGCATGGGGAGCCAATTCGTATGGTCAGTTAGGCACTGGCAATAAAAGTAATCAGTCTTACCCTGCACCAGTTACTGTTGATAAGGACAGGTAATATTTACACTATAATAATCAGGCATAAATAAAAATAATCTCGGAAGTGCTGCGCAAAATCACAGTGACTTTTTTTGGTAGAAATCACTTGTAATTGCTAGCTATGGTTATTTCACAGACCTAAACCTGAAGAGATTCTAATGTTGGATGACATTTACATCTGTAAGTTAAAATTTGACCTCGCTGGAAACATATGCATTGCCATGATAAATAGATGTGAAAGGGAGACTACAAATTCTGGGGCTGGCTGTTTCCTGTCTCTCTCTCTCCTTCAGCTGCATCCTACTTCTCAGAGTATTTTATGAGTTTTAATTGTATGCTGTCATTGGTGCTGTGCTGCCACTTCAGTATACTGAGTCAATCAAAACAAGGCTTCTTATCTTTTTATAATTTATTTGCTATGTTAATAATAGTTTACCATTAAGATTGATCAGACAAAAAATGTGGAAAATGTCAGAAGAGTGGATATTTACAATTTGCCTGTAGCTCTTGCATTAAATACTGCTTATATGTTTTTATAGTCCTAGATTAGCAAGGGGAAGGCTGGAGGGAATTAAATTATATTTCTGCCTGAAAATTTAGCTGTTACAAATTTCTCAGTCTTAGTTCCTGATAATCAGTAATAGAATAATTTCTATGGATAATGCAATACTTTGTGTTTCTATCAGTAGAAATGTGAATGTGTTCCTTACTAGAGTATATTAGGGTCTTGTTGAATAAACCATTTTGGTTTTTCTGCTGTGAAAGACTTTAAAAAAGTGTAATGCTACTCTTACAGTTGTTTCTGTCTCCACCAGCTAGAAGGAAGAGGTAATTGCTATCTGATATTGTGTGGTGTTATTTCCTCTTAATTTGCTGCTTTTTTTCAAACATCAGTGTTTATTTTTTGCTTAAAACATTTTTGCTGCAGTCCAAATATGTTTAGTGCCTTTTAATAAAAATGTTATATATTGCCTTCATCGGTTGTTGGCCAAATCCTGTGTTCCTTATGACCATGGGAGTGTTACCTCACACTAAAGGGCTGCAAGATTTTGTCTTAAATATATATATACACAACTTCACCACTAATCAGACAAGTTATACTTCAGACTGCAAAACAGTGGATTGTGTAACAATTAATGTGATAGGAGTTTTGAAAACCTAAAAATCAATCTCTAGGGTTAGTGAAGCATCTTAACATAGCTAAAGTGTGGGAGGTAATGTTCTTTAATTAGTGCTTTCCTTGGATCTAGGCCCTTCATTTGGAAAATGTTCTAAAAAATGGCCTACAGAATAATTTAGTTACTACATGTGCATGCATATTAGTTAGAAGTAATGCTAAGAATAGGTGTAATATTGTAATGGTTGCACTTTGATGTGGTTTTAATTAAATAGTAAAATATTCTATGATAAATCTGATTTGCTGTTTTCAGGGTGAAAATTGAGAGGAGTAACTAGATGCCGTATATGTACAAATAATGAACAACCTTATTTTCAGTTGTCTTGCATGCTATGGAAACATTTTGTCATTTATGGTGAGGGGAGGATGGATGGGGAGGGGGAATATATTCCCATAAAACTTGAAATGCATGCAAGCCTACAGAAGTAGATATGTGGTAGTAAGCTTTCTCACTGCACTTTGTCCTTATGCCAGTGTTTTTGTTTGCTTGTGAATTTAGAGTTATAGAAATTGCAGCCTGCCATTCTGCTCACACTTCTGCTGCTAAAACCCAGGGTGGTCATGTGTATATGTGGGGTCAGTGCCGTGGCCAGTCTGTGATTCTTCCACACCTTACACACTTTGCCTGCACAGATGATGTGTTTGCTTGTTTTGCTACTCCTGCTGTGACATGGCGTCTCCTATCAGTAGGTGAGCTTACCATATTTTTTGTTGTTGTTGTTGCATCCTAATCTTTTTTAAAAAATTTGGTGCATAAGAAACGATAAATGCATTTGAAAAATAGACTTTAGTTATATTTTCCAGTTTAAAATTTTAAAATTAACCTACAGCCTGTAGAGCTTGTAGTTGGCTCTGCCCTGGTTTCTCAGTGTCTCTCTCTCCCAGGTCTGTCTACTTGGAGTGCATGTAGCAGTCTCTGCCCTGGCTGATCAGGGTTTCTCTCCCAGGCCTCTCTGCGTAGAAAGATTTCACAGTCTTCACCTGGTTCTCCTTGTGGGTTCTTTACTGTCAGCTTGTGGCCCCGTGGGAATGTCTGTGTGCACTGACACCTCAGCAAGATTTGCGTATGTGATCACAGTTATTTCATTCACTGTCTCTAGTGCCAGCTCTGGTGCATGCACCTCCTATGCATTTGTGCTGTCAGACACCTTCTTCTCCTGCCCATTCTTTTGGCTCCTGCATTTCTTCCTGCAGTGTGTCCACCTCATCAAAGGGCAAAATCTTTTTATATGGCCTGTAACAGGTCGAGCACTCACTGCTGCAGCACCTCCTGCTGGTCAGTCTGGGAATTAGCTCATTCCAGCCTCAGAGCGCCTCCTGCTGGCCGGTGTCTCTCCTGCTGTCATTATTTGTCTTTCATTATCAATCTCCACCACTATATTTGGGCCCCACATCCGTCCCGGCCCGCGGTTCCCCTTCTCCTGGGTACTGCCCGCAGCAGTACTCCCACACTCGGGGTCCTCCCCTCCCCAGGGAACCTCAATCCCCTAATTCCACCTTGCCTCCGTGACCCACTGCCAGTCTTCATCTAGCCCTTTCCCTCAGGGGCAAACTGCAGTCTGAAGTGGTCACTCATCATTGGCCAGGGGGTTGGACCTGTTGCCTCTTCCTCCCCTGGCTTCCTCCCCGCAGCCCTAGTACCAGGTTGTGACAGGAGACACTCACGTCTCGTGAGTTCTTCCTGTCATCTGGTTGTGGTACTGCTATCTTTTTTCTCCTGCTGCCCTCTTTGGTTGTCGACCTTGCCTAGTAGGTCTTCAGTGACTCAGCCCTCTGGCAGCCTTCTGCCCTTCAGTGCAGCCTTTCTAGGCAGGCCTGGAGGACCCACCTCCACTGCTCCATCCTGGGGCAGGGTGCAGTAAGCCCGTAGGGCCTACAGCACCGGGCCACAAAGTGCCTGGTACACCCCATCACTTCCATCCTGCATTATCAAGGAAATATTTTGTCAGGAAAGCTTTCAGCCCATTATCCCTACAGTGAGTCAGCCTTGAAGGTTTTCATATGGGCTTCCATAATAGGAGATAAACAAGTTCTTTGCTCTGAACCATTTGTGTCCAGTTCGTTCTGGAATATTAGCATATTTGACCATCAACAGCTAATTTATTTACCAACAGTTGCAGTTCATTTATCCTCCATGTAACTGTTTCTTAATTTTTAGCCTCAGTAAGGATTTCTGATGGACTAGTGTTACACAGGGGTTTCCCAAACCCAAAACTCTTGGTAACTTTACTCTCTGTGAGGTGGTATCAGGATAAACCCAGGGAGACGTAGTGCCTCTGTCTGCTACATGGCTGACACAAACAAATCAAAACCAAGTGCTTTCACTTAAAGCCAGCTCTTTATTAGTCTCTAGCATTCTCACTAGAAGACCTTTCCTCAGAGTCTCTGCTTTATTTAGTCTCAAGCACATACAAACACAATAAGTTATAGAGCAGCCCCAAACAATAGTTACCTATGGTCTGGAGGGGTCTCGAGTGGTCAAATGACAAGTTTCCAGTGGCCAGCTACCCACCTGTTGCCAGGGATTCCAAGAGATGTCCAGAAAGTCAAATCCAAATTCCTTAGACCCCTTTTATGTTAGTAACTGCTACAGTTACCTCAACAACATGTCAATCAAAGAAAAAACATTAAGCAAGTACTTTTTAAGCAGTTAGTTATACAGATGTGTTTTTGCAGAGTCTGCAGTCTCATGGGCCCCAACACACACACACCAGAAGTCAAATATAGATAGACTTCCTGTTTTTCAGAGACACATACCCCAGCATATCAGAGAGGACACAGTCAGGCCCATTCCTCATGATCGCCCCTCCCTCTTGGCTTTGCCTTAGTGATGCTAAGGCTGGTAAAAAGGCCTTACAGGTGCTACTCTTTGCAATAAGCAATATAATTGATAGTCCATCCCAAAAGTTGACTGTGCCTTGAGCACCTGATTGGATGCTAAAAATGCCCCTCATTGTATCTTGAACATCCTCTAGGGTCATGTACTTCAGTATGGCAGTTCAGAACCTCCCTTTGGTTGAAGACTAGGTTCTCTTTCTTGGTGTTCTACTTTTAAACCTACAATCTCAGTATTTCCCTTCATTTGGAAGTGAGTCTGTTGATCAACCGTAGCATTTTGACTATCCTAGACTATCTGTTGGATTTAAAGACACAAGGTCTCTCAATGGGCTCAGTCAGAGTACATTTTGCCTCTATCACAGCCTTCCACTCACTCATCAAGAGTGTCTCAGTTTTTGCTTACCCTACTATGACCAGATTCCTTGAAGGCTTACACAACTTATTTCTTCCTGTATGGAACCCAGCCCTCCAGTGGGACCTTAATTTGTTTCTCAATGTTCTGAGGAAATCCCCCTCCAAACCAATGGCTACCTGCTCTCTCCTTCACCTCTTCCTCAAGACTTCATTCCTTATAGCCATTGTTCGGCTAGGCGAATGGGAAAACTAGGTGGTCTCATGGCAAACCCACCACCTTCTATAGAGATAAGGTTTCACTACATCCCCATCCTCGCTTCCTCCCTATGGTCTCTTTGGAATACCATATTAATCAGGAGATCCATCTACTAGTGTTCTATCCAAAGCCTCATGCCTCCAGAGGGGAAACCAGCCTACAGAGACTAGTTGTCAGGAGGGTTCTCGCCTTATCTTTTGCAGAAAGGATGAAGGGACAGCCCATTTCCACACAAAGACTGTCGAAGTGGGTCTCGGGGTTACATCCTAATACGCTGTGAGATTGCTGGAATACATCCCCCTCATTGAGTGACAGCACACTCCACATCTATAGCCCTCTTAAAAGATGTTCCCGTAGCTGAAATCTGCAGGACTGCAATTTGGTCCTCCGTCCATATGCTTGCCAAGAACTACGCTTTCTTACCTGCTTCCAGAGTTGACATGATGTGGTCCTCCGAACGGTCTTGGATCTGCCTCCTCAGCACCCACCTTCATGTTAAGTTTCTGTTTGGGAGTCTCCTATGGTGTAGCACCCATAGGGGCATATACTTGAAGAAAAGGGAGAGGTTACTTACCTATAGAGTAACTTCTGTTTTTCAAGATGTTTTGTCCTTATGGGTGCTCCACCTCCCGCCCTCTTTCCTCTCTGCTGTGGAGCCTCTGGTTTCGCAATTGAGAAGGAACTGAGTGATGGCAGGTCTGCACCTCCCTATGTGCCCTTGTATGGGAGCATGAGGAACTGCTCTGCCCAGGCATGGGCCCATGGACACTGATTTACAGTCTCCATTCGAGAGTACATGGGAGCATGGTGCAGCACCCATAGGGACAAAACATCTTGAGGAAATCAAGTTACTGTACAGGTAAATAATCTCACTATCAACCTAGCTATTACCTGTCGAGGGGGTTGATTAACTACAGCGGTGGAAAAACCCTTTCTGTCACTGTAGCAAGTGTCTACACTACAGCAATACAGTGGCACAGCTGCAGTGCCATAGCTGTGCTGCTGTAGCATCTGTAGTGTAGACAAGAACTTAGTTGTATAGAGTCTACAGGATGCCCAGGAGTCAATGATTTAAGTACACTTAATGGTTTCATAATACCTCCACAGTGGGTTTGACCACAGAGAGAGTGTTCTGAAAGGTCTTAATTTATTTGCTGGGAATATCAGTGCACTTGATTGCTCTTAAGCATGCAAGAAGGTAGGAACCATAAAATGAATCCTTTGCCCTGTGATTTTTGTGTTTGTAAATTATGAACAAATATTAAACTCTGACTGCATCATACTTAAGTGTTCATCCTCTCAGCACTGGGATGTGGCTCTAGAGAGAATAGATATGTTACAGAAAGATGCATCTAATTCCTGCTAGCAGAGCTGATCAAGCACAGACCTTGGTGTATAACCTTTGTCTTACAGCCTGTACCATAAGGGGGCAACCTTAGGTGTTCATTAGAGCTTTTAGGTTGCCTAAACAATGAATTTAGAGAGGCCAGATGTGTGAGGTAACATCTTTTGTTAGACCAACCTCCGTTGGTGAGAGAGACAAGCTTTCAAACCACTCAGGGGTCTTCTTCAGGTCTGGTAAAGGTACTCTGAGCATCACAGCTAAATGCAAGGTGAAACAGATTGTTTAGCATAAGTAGTTAGCGCACATTTGACATAGATCAGGGAAAGCACTTATTGACAGTGAAAATACCTTATTTTTTTAATTGAGAACATTGCACATTTTAGTATATTTGTATGCATTACTTCCTTTTTTAAAAAGTGTAACTGTGTAGTCTTTTAGTCTGCAGATCTATAGAAGATACTTGTCTTTACACAATCACAATTCAGAGGAAAACAAACTCTCCCTAATGTTCTAGCTTTAAATTTTTATGCTCATGCCCTCTACCTTGAAGTAGCAAGGCTAAGTTTAGATGTAAAATTAGTTTATACTTGAAAACTACATTATGCTGTAATATATGTGTGTATATAAAAATCACTAGCTGGCCTTTATAAAATCAGATCTATTGCAGTTCTGTATATAATTCCCATGGCTAAGAGCAGATTCTTACTTTGCTAATAGGACTTTTTTCTTACCATACCTCGTGTGTCCACATTACTATTAAATACAGATGCAGCAGTTCTTTTGAGAGAGGCCATATTTTAAGATATATGTAAAATAGGTTTTTGTGTCTATATATAAAATCTCTGACTTTCAGGCATGTGTATCATAGTCTTCATTCTGGAAATTACCAGAATATCCTGCTTGGCTCCTTAATTTACTCATATCAGGAAATACAGCGCACATGAGACAACCATCCCTCAGCCCTGCCTTACACCTAAATAGCTATTTTCTATACTCTTGTTCTCCTGTTGCTGAGTATCTCTGACAAAAGTCCTGCAGTCACACCGACTTTCTTCACTATAGATTCACTCTTTTTCCTCTTTTAGTTCTGCCACTTTCTTAGCCAAACAGCTTTCTTGCTCCTCTTATTGCGTCTTGCACCTACAATCCCAAATACTTTTTCACCACATTTGACTACTTCCTTAAACCTCCACCCTCCTGTTTCCTGCTCACTTTCAATAAAAAATCTTGGGGATATCTTCAAAGAAAAAAAATCAGTAAGATACAGAGGGATTTCTCCACTCCACTTTTTCCACTATATCCATAGTGCACTCACCTCTGTCACTGTTGCCCTGCTCCTCCAACCCCTCTTTCTGCCCAGGTGACCCCATCTCCTCTCCTCTTGTAACTTTCCCAGCTCTGCTCTCACTCCCTCTTTAGGTGTTCTCCTCAACCTGTCTTTCTCATCCAGTTCCTTTTTCTCCCAGTACAAACATACTTTGGTCTTCCCTATTTTAAAAAAACAAAAACAACCACCCTGGACTCTTCCCCCACTAATACTCAGTGTCTCTTCTCCTGTTCATCTTCACACTAATTGAACATGCTTTCTGCAACCACTGTCTGGAGTTTTTAAATGTCCATCTTGACCATCTATAGTCTGCCTTCCATCCTCTACACTCCACTGAAACTGCTCTCACTAAAGTCTCTCATGACCTCTTTCTGGTCAAATCTCATGGATTGTATTCTGTCTTTGGGTTTGTCTACAATTCTGGCTAAATCGGCACTGTTGCGATTGATGCAGCGGTGTCGATTTAGCGGGTCTCGTGAAGACAAGCTAAGTCAATGGCAGCGCGCTCTCCTGTCAACGTCTGTACTCCACCTCCCCAAGAGGCAGAAGGTAAGTCGGTGGGAGAGCATCTTCCATTGACATAGTGCTGTGTAGACACCGCTGTACATCAACCTAAGTTACATCGACTTCAGTTACGTAACTTACATAACTGAAGTAGTGTGACTTAGGTCTACTTACAGCATTAGTGTAGACCAGCCCTTTATTTTCCTTGACCTCTCTGTGGCTTTTGACACCATCGACTGCTCCCTACGTCTTGAAATTTTGTCCTCTGTTGGCTTTTGTGGTTCAGTCCTCTCATAGTTCTCCTTTTACCTCTCTGATTACTCTTTCAGAGTCTCATTTGATGGGTCATTCTCCTACCCCCCCCCACACACACACATGCTCTATCTGTGGGTGACCCTCAAAACTCTGTCCTTGGCCTCTTCCTCTTCTTCCCATCTCTATCTGCTCTTAACTGCAAGCATGGTTTTAACTACCATCTTTGTGTGATGACATGCAGATCTTCAGTTCTACTGATGAATTATCTCCCTTTCATCTTTTTGGATGTTCAGTCATTTTCTTAAATGAAATGTGTCCAAAACTGAGTTATTAATCTTTTTCCAATCTCTCTTCTATCTACACTTTTGCCATCGTTGTAGACAACACCACAGTCCTTTTCACTCGGGCATGTACCTTGAGGGTCAACTTTGACTTCGCCCTATCACCTAGACCCACATATTCAGATCATTTCTAAAGCTTGCTGCTTTTTCTTTCATGACATTTCATGGCTTTTCCTCTGCTCACACAACTAAACTTTTGTCCGAGCCCTCATCATTTCACATCTTGACTATTGCAGCCTCCTCTTTTCTGGCATTGAATACTGCAAACTTGCTCCCTTCAACTCTTTTTCAAAATGCTGCTGCTAAAATAATTTTCTTGGCTCATTTCTGTGACCACGTCATCCCCCTCTTTGTGTCCTTCCACTGGCTCCCTCTTCACCTGTGCATCAAATACAAGATTCTTGTCTTTATCTTTAAAACGCTTCATAACTTAGCCCTACCTTTGCTTCCTCTGGCTGACCAATTCTATAGAGGTCAGCAGGTAATATTTTAATGACACACATTTATATTTGCAAGTAACTCTGTTGTTTCTGGCTTCCACAACAAAATGCTGCAGGCATTATTTTGATCTATAACAACATGTCAGTTGAACATCAGCCCTTCCAAGGGGATGTACTTGTTACGTCAGACAACAGTGAAGGTGTGTTTTGTCCTATTCATTAAGTTGATGAGGCTGCAAGATATCAGACTTTAAATCTGTGACATTTATGTAGAGAAAAGCTGTTACTATCCCTGGGAAGAGGAGGAAATATTTTTATGACGGGTTTGTTTGTTTGTTTGTTTGTTTTAAAAGAAAATGGCTATTTGAAGCTGCTGAAGGGGTTGAAGTATTAGAACTAGTCCATGAGAGATGGATTTGTGGACAGACAGCAGATGAGGATGTCAAGGCTATATGATAGACTTGTCACAGAGGTATCACAGAGGACTGTAGTATGTATATATGTACATACCTGCATAGACATACAGAATTTAATACATGCAATGCTTTAAATAGCACCACTGAAGCAAGCTCATTTTTCCAATATCTGTATAGAATTGTTAGTGTTTATCTGTAAGGCTGTTATATTGAGGACACTTCACCTGCACTTATGGATGTATTCACTTGTTTTGCTATTCTTGATGTGAAATGGCATCTCTCATAGTGGAAGTATTTAAAACAGAAATTTTTTCTTTTTTAGCAGATTCCAATATGATTTTATGTTTCTGGTACATATGCCAGAATAAATAATTTGAAAAATAAACACTTTCTGATAAAATAAGTAACAAGTTTAAAATTTAAACAAGTAAAAGTAACTGATAATATGTACTACCGATTGTAACATTAAACTTCTGAGACTGTTGAGATTTTTCTGGATGGTAGGAAATATTCCTGTACTAGGGTGAAACTTATCTGAGAGATACTAGGTGGACCTCTTTTTTAATTGAGATACGTATTTGTTTGGAGTGGATAGTCATGTAGGAATTGTAGTGACATAGCCTTTACTCCCTGTTCTAGAGGTCCAAACTCTAACATTATTGTTGTGTTACTGGTCTTGAGTGGAAGGTTGTGTTTATGAACAGCATTGCTTTCATTGATATGCTGACTTAAAGCCAGGAATCATGAGATATGGAACATTGTTATTTATTCATCAATAACTCTTAAATACCTTTGTTATCTTAGAACTTGATGACCACCTAACAGTAGCCCAATCACTGAAGAAGGAATTTGACAACCCTGACACTGCAGACTTGAAGTTTCTAGTGGATGGAAAATATATTCATGTTCATAAAGTTCTTCTCAAAATTAGGTAAGGAATAACATCAACACTTTACTCATGCTGAGTAATACTGTTTAATGCTGTTGATATTTGGTTTCTTTCCTGTGTGATTATGAGCAGGCCTTATGCTGAAAACCACCTGCTTTTCTAAGTATTAGCCTAATTTCCTCCTCCCCTTCCTTTGGATCCAAAAATTTCATAGCACACTGCCTAATCCTGTTGCCTATACTCTTTACTTGCTCTCCTCCAGTCTGGCTTCCACCCTCTTTACTGCGTCTAAACTATCCTGATCAAGCTTCTTAAGATCTTTTCCTTGCTAGGAAAAAGGAGCACTTATCTGTCTTTTTTCTCTGCTGCCTTCTCCTTAGTTGATCACTTTCTCCTCCTTTCCTTTCTTGACTTCTACACCTGGGGCCCTCTGCTTCTCTCTTCCTTCATCTCTTCTTTATCACCTTCATTGGTAGCTCTGCATCCTCCCCTCTCACCCAGGAGTTCATGTTTTTCAGGTTTCTGTCCTTGGTCCCTTCTATCCTCTATTTCCAGCTGGCAACATCATCACCTCCAATTGTTTCAAGTGCTGCTTCTCTGGATGCTTCCCAAATGTACATATCTACTTCCAACCTATCCTCTTTCTGTCCAATCTCACATCCTGTATGTCTTAGTTATTTCTTTGACTAACTTGGTGGGCCTGAATTTCAGACTGATCTCCCTTTGTGTGTTCACAACTATTTGCAGGCTAATATCACTTTTCAATCTAACTGATTGATATGCAGATGTTATTAAGTTGTGTAAATTCCATTAAATGAGTCTGCATGTTATTGTTAGAACAGATTTTCATATGATGTTATTTGTGGAAGCAAAAAGCATAGCAAATTTTGAGAATATCTCCAAAACTGGTCACACAGTAGGTTAGTGGCAAAACTGGAAGTAGAACCCAGGTCTCCTGACTCACACCCTAGTGTCCGGTTCATTTGACCATACTGCTTCTCCTCCCATCTCCACTCTCTTGATAACTCTTTTTTGCTTCACCCTCTTTAATTTTACAATAATTTGCCCCTTCCTGCCTAATGTACCTCCTCTGCCAAAACCTGCTTCTTGCCTTGATTACCATCATCGCTTCTCCATCTTCCTTTTCCTCATCTTGAATCCTTTCACTGATTTCCTGGATGTTACTGCATCAAATTCAAGCTCCTTGGCTTCACCGTAATTAACCTTGCCTCAATTTACAGCTCTGCTCTCATATCCTAGTACTCCACTACTTCCCTACATTGTTATCTTTTCTCCATGTGCTCCCTTCATCTCCTGCACTCTGATACACACCTTCATTCTGCCATCTTTGCTTGAAATGGCTTGTTCTTCTTTGAGGTATGTTGTCCACACAGATTCCACTCTAGGTATGCATTTGGGATCAGATTCCTTTGAAAGCCATGTCTGCTGGACCTGCACCCCAGCACGCCCTTACCCTTGGCTTTGGTGGATGCATGTGCTCAGCCGCCATTCAGTTCCTTCTTACCACCTGTGACTGTGAGACGGAAAGCCTTCAGTGCCCATGCCTCTTGAATATTTGATGCACCTTGCTTTAGGAAGTGTTTTCATGAAAAGTAGTTGGTTAAGAGTTTAGAGTTTTGTCATAGACAAACGAGTTAGAACCTTTCTGAATTCTTTGTAGATTTTTGTAAATAATTGCCTTTTCTTTCTCACCTCCAGGCTCAAGATAACTGCTTGTTAATCACCTAGAGTGGAATCTGTGTGGACAATCACTTAAATGAGAAAGAACAGTTACCCTGCAGTAATTGTGGTTCTTTTTCGAGTGCTTGTTCACGTCGATTCCAATCAGGTGTGCGCACGCCACGTGCACGGTTGCTGGAAATTTTTCCCCCAGCAGCTCCCATCGGAGTGGCTGTGGAGCCCCCTGGAGTGGCGCCTTCAGGGTGCTCAATATATGACCCTGCTGACCCAGCGTCTCCTCAGTTCCTTCTTACCGCCTGTGATGGTTGTTGGAACCGTGAGTGGCTTGCTTACAAGTTTTATTTGCTTCCCCTAGCTTTCTAGTGTAGGTTATGTTAGTAGTTTATAGTTGTTCTGGTTTTTATTAGTTAGTAGTAGTTCTGTTAGGAGTGGAGGGTTTCCCTTCCACCCCGACCTTTCCCCCTGGGGACCTCGGGGCATGCCTCGATCCCCGGGGTTCAAGCCCTGCAAGTCCTGCAATAAGCCATGCCAATGGGCGACCCCCACAATGCTTGTTTAAAGTGTCTGGGGAGGCTCACTAAGCCGATAGGTGCAGGATTTGCAAGGGTTTTTGACCCAGGACCAGAAAGGAGCAGGATTTCAGGTTGAAACAGCTCCCTCTGGAGGCGGCTCTTAAACCACAGCCAATCTCAGTGCAGCAGGACCCGACACTGAGCACAGAGACTCACAGCACCGCCGTTCCCCGTGCCTAAGACTGTGGGAACTGCCTGGGACCTGTCCCACTCTCTGGCACCGCAGAAGAAGCACGCCAAGCAGGGTAGACGCGGATCTCCTGTGAGACCCTCCCCTGCAGTCTCGACCAATGGGGCGCGTCCCAGAGAGGAACACCTGGCCCCAAGACCCGTGAAGTCAGCTCTGGGGACTTCAGACATGCAAGGTGTACAATTGTGCCCGGGACTGTTGGACTCCCCAATCCATATGGTAGAGGAGGTGGGACTACCGTGCACTCCGGACACCTTCTAGACCGCACGGGACCTCATTGCCATGATGGCACCGTGGTCTCCGAGTCTCCGCGACAAGCCCCCTGCACTGCCGAGGGTGCTACCGGTGGCAAGCCAACAATGGTGTGCCCGCCTGCATCTCCAGGCCACTGATTCCCGGCACCAGTCAAACTCGCAGCACTGGTCCATGATCGCGGAGGTCCCGCTCCCAGCGCTGATCATCATCGCGTCATCGATCCCCTCGATACAGATCGAGGTCTCGGCACCGCTCCCCTTCCTCACAGCACCGCTCACCTGGCCAACTCCAATTGGCACCGCCATGGCCCTCTAGATCCCGGTCCCTGTCCTCAGAATGCGGGGTCTAGGTACTCACACCGGAGCCAGCACCAGTCAACGCATTGATGGCCCAACGCGGGTGCAATGCCATGGTCACCTCAATTGAAAGGACCGGCACAATGGTCTTTTTGGACCCCCTGGGCATATGACCAATCCCAGGGTACCTTGTCCAAGGGCTCCTGGTCCTTGGCATCCAAGCCCAAGCTGCCAACGGCCTTGGCCAGCCGCCCCACACCCAGAAGTGCTGAAGGGGTTCCGGTTACAGCACTTTCACCGGCATAGACCCCTGCCCCTACAGTGGAACAGGGGATCATTGACCCGGAACAGCAGGTCAAGCAGGAGGTCCCCATGGACCAACAGGCCCAGGATGACCCGGTTCCCCTGCCTGCGTCCTCATCCTCTTCCCCAGACGAGGCAGTAGCGGAAACTTCAGTCTTAGGATGACCACCCATAGATAGTCGTGCCCACCAGGACCTACTCTGCAGGGTGGCGCGCAACATGGGCTTGCAAGCCGAGGAGGTGGTTGAACATGAGGACCCAATGCTGGACATTTTGGCCCCAGAAGGTCTATCCCGAGTGGCGCTGCCACTCATTAGGATCATTCAAAACACCACCAAAACTGTGTGCCAGACCCAGGCCTCCATCTCCCCAATGGCCAAGGGAGTAGAACGCAAATACTTCATTCCCTCCAAGGGTTACGAGTATCTATACTCCCACCCGCAGCCCTGCTCCTTGATAGTGTCTGCGGTTAATGAACGTGAAAGGCAAGGGCAGCAGGGACCCACGCCTAAGTCCAAGGACTCTAAAAAACTTGACCTTTTTGGTAGAAGGGTCTACTCCATGAGGGGGCCTACAGCTCAGGATTGCTAATCAGCTGGCAGTCCTGAGCAGATATAATTTTAACTCACGGAACTCCATGCTCAAATTTAAGGAGCTAATACCATCAGAGTCCAGGGATGAGTTTGGGGCCATTGTGGAGAAGGGCAAGAAAGTGGAACGGACCTCTTTACAGGCCTCACTGGACACTGCTGACTCGGCGGTGCGTGCCTTGTCCTCTGACATAGCAATGAGGAGGACCTCATGGCTTCAAGTTTCGGGCCTATGCCCTGAGGTCCAACAGACCCTGCAGGACCTGCCCTTTGATGGGACAGGATTATTCGCGAAGCAAAGAGACTCCAGGCTACATGGTCTGAAGGATTTGAGGGAAACGATGAAGTCGCTGGGGATGCATACCCCAGCTACTCAGTGAAAACACTTTAAACCTCAACCTCAGCTTAGGCAAGACTTTTCTAAAAGACGAGGTAGGAACGGCAGGCATAAGCCGTCCCAGCCCTCGTCAGCACAGGGCCAGGCACGCACCTCCTTGGCCTCCAAGCAGGCGTTTTGAAGGTGTGCCCGGGGACGACGTGCCAGACCGTATACCGGAACCTCAACCCTGCTTTCAGAATCATCTATCCCACTTCTACCATGCATGGTCCCAAATAACATTGGATAGCTGGGTTCTCCGCATGGTAGAAGTGGGATATTCTCTCCAATTCTGCTCTTCCCCTCCCTCCCATTCCGCTTCCCCATCCCTCTTCGGGGACCCTTCTCACGAGCAGCTCCTTATCCAGGAGGTGCAATCACTCCTCACCATAGGAGCAGTGGAGGAGGTTCCTCAGGAGCTAAGGGACAAGGGGTTCTACTCCTGCTATTTCCTAATACTCAAGGCAAAGGGGGGGTCTCAGACCCATTCTAGACCTGCACAGCCTCAACAGGTTCATGGTGAAGTTGAAGTTCCGCATGGTCTCTCTGAGCATGATTATTCCTTCCCTGGATCCGGAAGACTGGTATGCTGCCCTCGACATGAAAGACATGTACTTTCACATAGCTATTCAGCCCACGCACAGATGATTTCTGCAGTTTGTAGCCAGCCACAAACACCATCAGTTCATAGTACTCCCCTTTGGTCCGTCGATAGCCCCCCGAGTGTTCACCAAGTGTGTGTCGTTCGTAGCAGCCTTC